GGCACAATACCACAGGGACCCACACTAACACAATAGCGACTCAAGGACCTGAGAGACCTTTTAAAACTTTCTAAATCCACGTAAAAAATATTTTTTTCTTGGCGACATGTGAAACATGGCAACACTGTCTGCACAGTGTTGTAAACAATCCTAACTTTTATACTTTGGCGGTGACATGTTAATATGTCTGTATAACGACAGTCTGAGTGGTCTGTGGGTGCACTAGTCCTTCTCACTAACTCTGTAAGTAACAACATTCCCGCACTGATTATTGATGATCTCCACATGGGGGATGAGTTTGAATCACTGGGAGTAACCCTTTACATAAACAATAATGCCCTACATATAATCAACCTATATGTGCCACTGATTAAACTTGACCTTGATACACTGCCTGAATTTGTTAATGAAGAACCTACCCTGCTGGTAGGGTAGTCTAACAAGAGCACTGTCTAATGATGACGAATATGGGCAACCAATCACAGCCCAGGAAGTAAGGGGCGCTATAAAAAAGGGTAAAAAGTACAGCACCTGGTGAGGATGGCGTCAATGCACTGTGTGCATTGATACTCAATGCACTGTGTGAAGTGCATTGAGAATCCACTACTCCACCTGTTTAACAAGTCATTCGTAAGTGGAGTGTTGCCCACACAATGGAAACACGCAATAATTGTCCCCGTACCGAAACCTAATGACCCTGGCAGTTACAGACCAGGGTCTTATGTCATGCACTTGCAAGATGCTTGAAAGGATCATTCTAAACCAACTGTTGCACAAAATAGGCAGGTTAGGGGAGGGGGTCAATGGATTTGTTAAAGGACGGAGCACAGCAAATTGTATAGTTAGTTACCTGGCTAATGACACAGCTAAGTACTCTGTATTTGTCGACATCAAAGGAGCCTTCGACAAAGCACAGGGAATTGCGATCCTGGACGAGCTTGTATGCATGGGTGTCAAGGGGAGACTCATGATATGGGGTTGAAGACTACCTCACAGGAAGGAAAGCAAAGGTCTGCTTCAATCGAGCAGTCTCAAGAACAATGAATATGGAACTCGGGACCTCCCAAGGCGGAGTCTTAAGCCCTACACTATTCAATGTACTTATGAACGCCATTGCAAATATTGGTTTCTCGGAAGGAACACAACAAGTGGGATATGCAGATGATGATACAAGCTCCCACCTTGAGAAAAATTAAACAGTCCATTGAACTCCTCGGAAAGAAATGTATTGAGCTCGGCTTCACTCTCTCCACAACCAAGACAAAAACATACTCTCATCACAAGCGGGGAGAAAATAAAGAACTACAAATTAATGGTGTAACACTTGAATGGGTTGACCACTATCGGTACCTTGGCGTCACTGTCGGCTCTAACAAGGGAAAGAAAGAAGCGCTCAACCAACTTATAGGAACACGCAAAAGTCGACTCAGGGCACTGAAAGCTATGACCTGGAATGGAAATGGAATCTCTATTGCCGTGCTTAAAATGATGTACACAGCCTATGTGCGCTCCGTCATAGACTAATAGACTATGCCGCACCAGTTTTGTGCACCTACTCCTAAAGCGATATGAAAAGGCTTGAAAGCATTCAGAATGAAGCCATGACAATCATTCTTGGAGTTCCCATAACTGCCAAAACGTCTTATCTACGAGAGTAGTTGTCCCTCCCCAGTGTTAAAAGCAGAATTAAGGAGCTGAATGCTAAGCTTGCAATTAGGATAGCCAGAGATCCCCATTACAATGATATTGCTAAGAAAAAACTGAGTTCTGTGCTACTTTCAGGGGGAAACAGGAGAAGCAAAAAATGGCATCACAGATCAGTCTGCTACCTCGAAGAACTTCACCTGCTTGAGCAAGCCCGTGAGCTCCTGCTTGTAGAGAGGTTACCTCCCTGGGAGGATGACTCATGCAAGATTATCATCAATGAAATGGCAACGAAAAAATCCAACATGATACCACAAGAAATGAGGCACAAGTATCTCGAGGAAATTTATAAAGAAGCCGGAGATGAATTAGATCAAATCTACATTGACGGGTCATCTAATCCTGTCAATGGCAGGGCTGGTGCAGCATACCCTGTAATTAAGGATAATGCTTTCCAACGCAGAAATGAAGAAAAAGCACGCATTGAGAACTATGCCTCTTCAAAGCAAGCAGAGCTAACTGCCATTGTTATAGCATTAAAGTTTCTTGAACGGAACACTAATTGTGCAGTGATTTACACTGATTCAAAAGCAACACTGCAAAGCCTAGGTAAAAATCGGGCCGAAAATCTTGCAGTAGTCGCTGAAATTAAGAGAGCTGTGAGAGTACTTACCAATCGGGGAAGAGTCATCAAGTTTCTGTGGATCCCCTCCCATGTTGGAATATGTGGGAATGAACGAGCAGATGTGCTGGCTGTTGAAGGCGCTAAAGGAGACCATATTGAATACTTCATACCCAAGACTCTACTACAAATTAGAGGTATTATCAGGCAACATCACCGTGACAAGGTAACTGAGGAAAGGAGGATAGAAGCACAAACCAGTGAATTTGTATGATGGTACAACATGGTTGCAGTTGGCAATCCCAATCATAATGGACGAAGAGGAGGAGGATGCGGGAGAGAATCAGTAATAGCGAGAATCCATCTTGGATGTTGATCAGCAAAGTTGCAGAATCTGTGATGAGAGTGATGGACACCGCCTAGACCACTAAGTGAATGTGAACACCTGAGAGACATTAGAAACATGTGTAGAATAACATTGTTCGAGTTAGGAAAACACAATTTGTCAAATATTGATACTGTTCTTAAAAAATTTCCCCATTTTGCACCCGCAAGACAACGTAAGCTTGCAACGTAAGTAAGCAACGTAAGGGTTGACAGATGTTAATCTTCTTGTTTGAGGAGCTGTTCACTTGAGACAGTTAAGCAAGTCCCAGCTGTGTCTGGGATGAACAAGTGACAGGACGAACAACCCAGCGGGTTTTCTTCCTATTGAGGAGTGTTGTACATGCTGCTATGGCGGTGTGTCCACTCACAGATGTGTGACGCTGCCCAATAAACTCACCCCTGTCGGGGTTACTAAATCTCACCAGTCACCACCAAGTAGTAGTAGTGGTAACTGTTACTTACTGTAGCCCTGCGGGTCTTCACTCCATCCTCGAGGTGCCACTGTTCACCTGGAGAGTATCCCAGTCTACCTCCGGCCGGCCTTATAGCCTGAAGGCGAGTGGGAACACGACCTACTCTCTTGATCGTGTGCCCGCCCCGACAAAGGGCTCTACAGCTATCTGAAAGGTCGCCAACTGGTGTTCTCTGTGTCCAGTAACACGTCAGTGGTATCGTGGAATTGTGGTAGTAGTGGCAGAGAGTACATCAATCAAATCTAGTAACAGGCAGGTTTATATATATATCTCAATCACTCTCTTATATGGACTCAATAATCTCAATAGCAACAAGTAATGGAGGGATAATACAAACGCGAAGGTGGTTTTGTATTTTACTTAAAATATTAAAGTATTATAGCTCTGGATCAACAACAACAACGAAGTACATGGCAGCAAATCACTCCCTCTTCATAATCTGGAGCACTAAGTGACGGCAACACTCCCCCTCCTGTCGTACATTCCCAGCTGCCACGCCCCCCCCCCCACCTCACTGTATATTCTCTCTGTACTTGTTGTCCTGGCGTTAAGCGCCTATTTCTTCAAATTCACAGTAAACACAATACTGGCAATCAGCACAATAAACTGCTATAATGGCAATAAATGCAATGAATCACTGTACTGGCCTTAAGCACAGTAAAATTACTTCAATGGCAATAAACACAGTAACTCACTGTAATGACATTAAACACAGTAGATCACAATAATGGCATTAAACGCAATAAATTACTTCAATGGCAATAAACACAGTAAATCACTGTACACATGAATATACTATTCAATACTCCAGCATATATATTTATAGATCACTTCATCAATATTAGCAATAATGAGTCAATATGGGGCACACAGCCTTAAACTAATAAATGATACATTTATAATATATATATATATATATATATATATATATATATATATATATATATATATATATATATATATATATTCTCTGACACAAACTTATAATATTAATGTCACATGAGTATAAATGTCCTTGACACAGCAAACTCTTCGATAAATCACAGGTGCACTCACACACCACATATATATTCCGTGAGAGCTCTCTACAGCATCTCTTTGCACAACTGTGCCTTACTATGACATAGACACTGGAGAGCCCTGCTCATGACATAGAAGATACTCTGGCTAAATAGCTGACTAAAGGGGAATGGGGAGGGAAAACTGAATTACCTACTTCCACCTCAATGATGTGGACTCGCCCTCTGTTGAGAGTTGAATTGAAGCCCCTGGTCCCGGCTCTTGACTCGTTGTAGGGAACGCCCCCTCACACACACTGATGCTCTCTCCAGGAACCTCTTCAACACCTCAAAAACGCATCTTCACCGTGCTCTATCCTTTGCAGGCCCGTGCTCCTCCACAACTTCTCGAAGGGTTGGAGTCGGTCTCCTGGCCGTCGACTTCTCCTCACAACTACGTCTGCAGTCCCTTCTTTCGGCTGCAGTCGTCCTGATTCCCAGTTAGCTTCGTTCTTCTCCTGGCTCTCGGTGGATTGGCCCAGCCGCTACGTCGTCACCTAAACTGGTGAGACTGCACAGTCGTCCCGGACGCCACTGTTCAGACTTCACTTCTTGCAACACACCTGTCACTGGAGCACTTGCTGCTCAATACTCGTCAATTCCTTCTTCGGTCCAACACATGGAATACAGGAAGACCTCACAGGGTGATTGCAGACTATTGGGTGACGCGTAAATCCACCGGAACGGGGCAAAACTGTCAAACTGACAGGACCCCCTATCACACGTCCGACCTCGACGTCGTGTCAAACTCCTGGGCGCCACGGCCCGCGCCGTCCGGACCCCCTTGCTCTCGTGACGTCATACTTCCCAGGGGCG